AGGGGCAGCTGTGGGTGCAGCTTCAGTGAATTTAATCGTTCCTGCCTGCTGGCTCTGAAGACAGTAGCTGATCCTGACAAAAGGGATTCTCCCAGCACAGCACGCCGGCTCTACTAAGGGACAGGGTGGGTCCCTGACCCCATGCCTCCTGACTGGGAGAAATCCCCCAACAGAGGTCGACAGACGCCCCATATAGGAGAGCTCCTGCTAGCATCAAGCCAGTGCCTGTCTGGGATGAAGCTTCCAGAGGAAGGAGCAGGCAGCAGTCTTTGCTGTTCTGCAGCCTCCACTGCTGATACCCAGCAGAATAGGGTCTGCAGTAGACCTCCAGCAAACTGCAGCAGACCTGCAGAAGAGGGGCCTGACTGTTAGGAGAAAAACTAACATGGGTCCAGGTGTGGTTGCTCACACCTATAATCCCAGTACTTTGGGAGGCTAAGGCAGGAAGATCACAAGATCAGGAGTTTGAGACCAGCCTGGGCAATATGGTGAAACTCTGTCTCTACTAAATATACAAAAATTAGCCAGGTGTAGTGGCCGGGTGCCTGTAGTCTCAGCTCAGAAAGCCGAGGCAGGATAATCACTTGAACCCAGGAAGTGGAGGTTGCAGTGAGCAGAGATCTCACCACTGCACTACTTCTGCCTAGGCAACAGAGCAAGACTCCATCTCAAAAAAAAAAAAAAAAGAAAAGAAAAGAAAAGAAAAAATTAACAGAAAGCAACCACATCAGTATCAACATAAAGGAACACCCCCCCCCACCACAAAAACCCCATCTGAAGGTTATTAGCCTAAAGATCAAAGGCAGATAAAACCATGAAGATGAGGAAAAACCAGCACAAAAACGCTGAAAATTCCAAAAACCAGAATGCCTCTTCTCCTCCAAATGATCACAGCTCTTCTCAGCAAGGGCACAAAACTGGATGGAAAATGAGACTGATGAATTGACAGAAGGTGGGTAATAAAACACTTCAGAAAGTACGTAATAGAACACTTCAGAAAGTGGGTAATAAAACACTTCAGAAGGTGGGTAATAAAACACTCCTCTGAGCTCAAGGAGCATGTTCTAACCCAATGCAAGGAAGCTAAGAACCTTGATAAAAGGTTATAGAAACTGCTAACTAGAAAAACCAGTTTTGAGAAGAACATAAATTACCTGATGGAGGGGAAAAACACAGCACAAAACTTTGTGAAGCATACACAGGAATCAGTAGCTGAATCAAGCAGAAGAAAGGATATCAGAGATTGAAGATCAACGTACTGAAATAAGACATGAAGACAAGATTAGAGAAAAAATAATAAGAAAGGAATAAACGAAGACTCCAAGAAATATGGGACTATGTGAAAAGACCAAACCTATGATTGATTGAAACCAATGAGGACAAAGAGACAATGTAGTAGAATCTCTGGGACACAGCTAAAGCAGTGTTAAGAGGGAAATTTGTAGCACTGAATGCCCACAATAGAAAGCTGGAAAGATCTAAAATCAACACCCTAACATCACAATAAAAAGAACTAGAGAAGCAAAAGAAAACAAATTCAAAAGCTAGCAGAAGACAACAAATAAGATCAGAGCAGAACTGAAGGAGATAGAGACACGAAAAACCTCTTCAAAAATCATTGAATCCAGAAGCTGTTTTTTTTTTTTTTTTTTTTTTTTTTTAGGATTAACAGAATAGATGGACCACTAGCTGGACTAACAAACAAGAAAAGAAAGAAGAATCAAATAGACACAATAGAAAATGATAAAGAGGATATCACCACTGATGCCACAGAAATACAAACTACTATCAGAAAATACGAAAAACACCTCTACACAAAACTAGAAAATCTAGAAGAAATGGATAAATTCCTGGACACATATACTCTCTCAAGACTAAACCAGGAAGAAGTTGAATCCCTGAATAGACCAATAACAAGTTCTGAAATTTAGGCAGTAATTAATAGCCTACCACCCAAAAACAAAAACAAAAAAAGCCCAGGACCAGATGGATTCACAGCCAAATTCTACCAGAGGTACACAGAGGAGCTGGTACCATTCCTTCTGAAATTATTCCAAACAATAGAAAAAGAGGGACTTCTCCCTAATTCATTTTATGAGGCCAGCAAAGCATCCCGATACCAGAACAAGGCAGAGGCACAACAACAACAAAAAAAGAAAATTCAGGCCAGTATCCCCAATGAACATAGATGGGAAAATCTTCAATAAAATACTGGCAAACTGAATCCAGCAGCACATCAAAAAGTTTATCCATCATGATCAAGTCGGCTTCATCCCTGTGATGCAAGGCAGATTCAACATATGCAAATCAACAAACATAATCCATCATGTAAACAGAACCAGTGATGAAAACCTCATGATTATCTCAGTAATAAGAGGCCTTCAATAAAATTCAACATTCATTCATGCTAAAGACTCTCAATAAACTAGGTACTGATGGAACATCTCTCAAAATAATTAAGAGCTATTTATGACAAACCCATAGTATCATACTGAATGGGCAAAAGCTAGAAGCATTCCCTTTGAAAACTGGCACAAGACAAGGATGCCCTTTCTCACCACTCCTATTCAGCATAGTATTGGAAGTTCTGGCCAGGGCATCAGGCAAGAGAAGGAAAAAAAAGCGTATTCAAATAGGAAGAGAGGAAGTCAAATTGTCTTTGGTTGCAGACGACATGATTGTATATTTAGAAAACCCCATAGTCTCAGCCCAAAAACTTCTTAGGCTGAAAAGCAACTTCAGCAAAGTCTCAGGATACAAAATCAATGTGCAAAAATCACAAGCATTCCTATACACCAAAAATAGACTAGCAGGGAGCCAATTCATGAGTGAACTCCTATTTACAGTTGCCACAAAGAGAATAAAATAGGAATACAACTTACAAGGGATGTGAAGGACCTCCTCAAGGACAACTACAAACCACTGCTCGAGGAAATACAACAGGACACAAACAGATGGAAAAACATTCCATGCTTATGGATAGGAAGAATCAATATCGTGAAAATGGCCATACTGCCCAAAGTAATTTATAGATTGAATGCTATTTCCATCAAACAACCAGTGACTTTCTTGCAGAATTAGAAAAAAACTACTTTAAATTTCATATGGAACCAAACAAGAGCCCATATAGCCAAGACAGTCCTAAGCAAAAAGAACAAAACAGGAGGCATCATGCTACCTGGCTTCAAACTATACTACAAGGCTACAGTAACCAAAACAGCATGGTACTGGTATATAGATGTATAGATATATACAAACAAAACAGATATATAGATGAATGGAATAGAACAGAGACCTCAGAAATAACACCACACATGTACAACTGTCTGATTTTGACAAACCAGACAAGAACAAGCAATGGGAAAAGGATTCCCTATTTAATAAATGGTGCTGGGAAAACTGGCTAGCCATATGCAGAAAACAGAAACTGGACCCCTTCCTTACACCTTATATAAAAATTAAGATAGATTAAACACTTAAATGTAAAACCAAAAACTGTAAAAATCCTAGAAGAAAACCTAGGCAATACAATTCAGGACATAGGCATGGGCAAAGACTTCATGACTAAAACACCAAAAGCAGTTGCAACAAAAGCCAAAATTGACAAATGGGATCTAATCAAACTAAAGAGCTTCTGCGCAGTAAAAGAAGCTGTCATCAGAGTGAGCAAGCAACCTACAGAATGGGAGAAAATTTTTGCAAGTTACCCTTCTGACAAAGGTCTAATCCAAAATCTACAAGGAATTTAAACAAATGTACAAGGAAAAACAACCCTCTGAAAAAGTGGGTGAAGGAGATTTACAGATACTTTTTAAAAGAAGACATTTATGCAGCCAACCAACGTATGGAAGAAAAGCTCATCACAGGTCATTAGAGAATGCAAATCAAAACCACAATGAGATACCATCTCACAACAGTTAGAATGGCGATTATTATTAAAGAAACAACAGATGCTGGTGAGGCTATGGAGAAATAGGAACACTTTTACACTGTCGGTGAAAGTGTAAATGAAGTTCAACCGTTGTGTGGAAGACAGTGTGGCAATTCCTCAGGGATCTAGAACCAGAAATACTATTTGACCCAGCAATCCCATTACTGGGTATATACCCAAAGGATTATAAATAATTCTATAAAGACATACGCACATGTATGTTTATTGCAGCACTGTTTGCAATAGCAAAGACTATGAACTAACCCAAATGCCCAACAATAATAGGCTGGATAAAGAAAATGTAGCACATATACACCATGGAACACTATGCATTCATAAAAAAGAATGATATCATGTCCTTTGCAGGGACGTGGATGAAGCTGGAAGCCATCATTCTCAGCAAACTTAACACAGGAACAGAAAACCAAACACCACATGTTCTCACTCGTAAGTGGGAGTTGAACAATGAGAACCCATGGACATGGGGAGGGGAACATCACACACCAGAGCCTGTTAGGGGATGGGAGACAAGGGCAGGGAGAGCATTAGGACAAATACCTAATGCATGTGGTGGGGCTTAAAACCTAGATAACAGGTTGATAGGTACAGCAAACCACCATGGCTCATGTATACCTATGTAACAAACCTGCATGTTCTGCACATGCATCCCAAAACTTGAAGTAAAATAAAATGATAAAGTATTCAGGGATAAAGAGAGAAAAATAAATTTAGATTGTATGCACATATAAAATGCATTTTGAAAGGTGAGCTTGTCTTTTTTATTCCTTAAAGGAGCAGATATATATATATATATATATAAAGAATAGAATCACTTTTATCTTTTAGCCTCCCACGTATTTACTTGTTTCTTCACAAGTTACTTGGTCTAATTCAGTATGTAAGTAACTGACTCTCACTGCTTCTTCTGCGCCAGGTAAAGCTTGCATTAAATAGATGTGTGTGCTTTTTTCCTTGGACCTGTCTTATGTCAATTTAATTCTCAGGCTCAGCAAAAGATAAATAAAAACAAAAATAAAAAAGCCTTTAAAGGGGAGCTTAGCTTCCCTACATGACCCCAGTGGTGACTGTAATCAAACCACACCTTCTAGGCGACCAGTACCACATCCTGTGGCCTCTGTGGCCTGCCTCTAGCATGGCCTCTCTGGAGGAGGTGAGGCAAGGGTGCTGAGACCTCAGGCCTCCCTTACTCTATCTCCTATTAGTGATATGATCCCTGGTGTCACCTCTCCCACCACACTGTGGGCTTCAGGGAACAGGATTCACATGGGGCTCGTTTGTCCTTCCTGGCTCCAGCAGACTCCAAGCACAGGTGTTCTCAGAGTGAAGCTCACTGTCTACTTCCTGTGTGAATTGCTTTACCCCGCAAGCCCATAAGGTGAGTGCAGTGGTGGCCTCAGCTCATTGCCTAAGGACAGGCTCCAGGCTGCAGCACAGGGAGGGGACCCCAGAGAGCCTGTGGACTCTGCTGAGGAACCGCAGGAGCTCCCAGAGGGCCAAGTGCAGGGCGGAGATCTGCACCGAGAAGCAGCTGCTCAGAGAACTCTAGCCCTGCAGAGGCACAAATACGTTGCTATTATACAGGAGGTGAGGCCCAAAATGCTAGAGACATTGCTCCTGAATCTCATTTTTGCCACTTGTAAAACAGAGAAAACAACCTGCCCTCCTCTCCCCGTGTCACTGGGAAAATCCACCACATGAAGATGTGCAGTCTCTGGCTGGGAGCAGGACACCAGCTGCCCAACAGCACAGGCTCAGGGCAGGGCACCGTCCCCACTGTCCCCATCTCCAACCTGGAAGCTAGGGCTTCGCTGCCCTGCCACTCCTGGATACAGGACAGAGAGGATCAGGACTGGGACTGTGGTCTCTCTGTAAAGGCTGGGTGAGCAGCCATCTGGGGCCATGTGGATGGAGACCTTTCCTTCTCCTCAAACTGCAACCCGGGTTGGGCACCTACTAGGACAACTGGAAGCATGGCAGGTGAACAAGGCCGTGGCCCTGCAGTGCCATCACTGTCCTCACTTGAACTCTGCGTGGCGCTTTACCCCAGTCTTCCCCCCCGCCACCCCAGTCTTCAGAAGCTTCTGCCCCAGCTCAGGGAGCTGGTATGGAGGTGCAGGTAGGAGGAGGTGCAGCCTCTGCTGGGTGGAAGACACGTGCCCTGGGGATCTAGAGTCCAGAGTGACACCAGCCCTGAGGATGCAATTTGTCCTCCCACATCTGTTACACAACTGCTGAAGTTTACACAGGGTTGCTGAAAATCTTTATCTCCTGCTCATTTTACAGGAAAGAGCTGAGGCCACACCAGAGTCACAGAGCTGGAGGGGGAGCAAGCCAGGGCCCAGCCATCCGCTTCCAATAATCTCAGTACTTTTTGACAGCCTGAGAGCCTGAGACCACGAATCTTCTTGATTCCTGCTTTGATAGAGGGACGGAGTGGAAGGACCTGGCACAGAGATTGGACCAGCCCAGCACTAACAGAGCCAGGACCTGGGTCAGGAACTGAGCTCAGCTCCAGGCTCATGTGATGTCATCCTGACAGCCTAAGGCCACAGACCTTATCTCCATTCACAGGAATGGCAGGTGGCAGGGACTGGCCCCAGCTCACCAGTTTCCCAAGTGCACAGCTGGGAATTCATTCTCCCTGCCGACCTCCCCTGCTGTCTCATCTGGATCCCTCGTCATCTACTCCCTGTATCAAAAAACTACTGTATCCTTGAAAATCCCTAATACGTAGGGAAGGAATGAAAATACCTAACAATGTGATGTATCATGTTTTACTTCTCAGACTAGTAAAGAACGTGGCCAGGCGTGGTGGCTCATGCCTGTAATCCCACCACTTTGGGAGGCTGAGGTGGATGGATCACGAGATCAGGAGATAGAGACCATCCTGGCCAACATGGTGAAATCCTGTCTCTACTAAAATATAAAAAATTAGCTGAGCTTGGTGGTACACACCTGTAGTCCCCGATACTTGGGAGACTGAAGCAGGGGAATCACTTGAACCGGGGAAGCAGATGTTGCAGTAAGCCAAGATCGTGCCCCTGCACTCCAGTCCAGCAACAGAGCAAGACTTCGTTTCAAAAAAAAAAATAAGTGTAGCAAGGGTGTAGGGACAGAGGCACATTTGTGGACTAGGTGTGAGTATAAGCTGGGTTCAGTGGTCTTTGGAGGAAAATTTGTGGACATCTAAAGAAACTTCTGAAATCATTTATCCTGCAGAAGGAATAAGATTCTACTTCTAAGGAGGTGCCCCATAAGCTGGTGCACATGGACATGTGGACACACGAGACATACAAGGTTATTTAGAACAATGCTGGTGGAATCAGCAGAGGCAAAGTCGGGATGGGATCTCACCAGCTGTTGTAGGTGGCAACAGTGAATTAAATTGTGGCTTACCCACGCAGTAAAATACAATACCCTTGTTAAAAAGGAGATCAATCTCGTGCCATTGCACTCTAACCTGGGTAGCAAGAGCGAAACTCTTGTCTCAAAAAAAAAGGAAAATAAAAAACAAAACGAGGGAGATCAGTCTTAGTGTACTGCCATAAAACAGCTAATGTGATTTATGTTAGCTCCAAAATTTAAAAAAGGGATTGTGCATTTAAATGCATTTAAAAAGGCAAGACTGGCCAGGTGCAGTGGGCTCATGCCTGTAATTCCAACATTTTGAGAGAGGCAGGTGAATTAACTTGAGTTCAGGAGTTGGAGACCAGCCTGGCCAAATGGTGAATCACCGTGTCTACTAAAAATACAAAAATTAGCCAGGTGTGGTGGTGCAGTCCTGTAGTCCCAGCTACTCAGGAGGCTGAGGTGGAAGCATTGCTTGAACCCGGGAGGCGGAGGCTGCAGTAAACCAGGATCATACCACTGGGCACCAACCTGAGTGACAGTCTCAAAAAATAAACCTCAAGAAAGAAAAAGAAAAGAAAGAGAAAGAGAGAAAAGAGGAAGGAAGGAGGGAAGGAGGAAGGAAGGAAGGGAGGAAGGAGGAAGGGAGGGCGGGAGGGAAAAAGGAAGGAAGGGAAGGAGGGAGGAACCAGGTGCTCTGGGAAGGGGAGAGGATCAGGATGCGCCTGGAAAGCAGACTCTGAACCTCAAGACCCTGCTCACAGCCCAGCGCGCGACCCTGGGAGGCTTCGATTCCCCACGCGCCTCCGCCAGCTCATTCTCCCCAGTTTCAATGCCTGTCCTGTCGCGCACAGGACGCAGAAGCAAACCACAGCCCTGGGCGCCGCCGCCTGGGCAAAGGTTCGTTCCTTTTCTTCCCCTCCCCGCCCCACTTGGACGTGCTTGCAGAGGATGGCGTTGACGAGGCTATATTTATTGTCACCAACCTGTGGTGGAATTTCATTACCGTCTGTGCTTCGCCCCGCCCAGAATGACGCCCGCCGGGGCGGTGAAAGTGCAGCGGCGCCGCGCCGCACAGCTCATCCTCCACACGCAAATCGGCACGCGTCCCGCGAACACCACAGACTCTAGGGACGTTTCCGCGACCACGAATACACAGGCGATGCCCGATCTACTTTAAAGGCTGAAACCCGCGGGCCTGGGGGACGAAGAGCGTTTCCTGCCGCCGTCGGACAGCGGGGACAGAGCGCCCCAACTCCCTCGGGGGCCCGGAAAGGGCGCGGCTCCGGGACCCAGCACAGTGCGGGAGCCATGTCTGGGCTTTTCACCCCCAAGACCCTTGTGCTCGTTGTCATCGTCGTCGTCGTCGTCGTCTCCTCGGTGCTGCCGTCGGTGAGTTCCCGCCGCGATCCCTGGGAAGCGCGCGCCTGGCGCCAGGAGGGGGCCAGGAGAGTGAGGGGCACCTTCTGCCGGGCATGTCCGGGCAAGACGTACCCATCGTCGTCGGAGTCTGGGGAAGAGCAGGGTCCCGGGCTGGGCAGGACTGACCCGGGCCAGGAGAGAGCAGAGCGCGCGCTTCGCTCGGAATAAATCCCCTAATCCAGTGGGGGAGGGCGGCAGGTGGGAATTCCCCTGGACGCCGCGTGAAGCCACGGAGAGGTCGTCGGACTTTCGTTCTCTTTTCTTTCCTTACTTTCTTTTTCTTTCTCTTTTTTTCTCTCTTCCTTTCTTTCCCTCCCTTCCTTCCTCGCTCAGTTCTTGCCATAATTTTTTTTTCTTTTTTTTTTTTTTTGAGACGGAGCTTCGCCCTTGTTACCCAGGCTGGAGTGCAATGGCGCGATCTCGGCTCACCGCAACCTCCGCTTCCTGGGTTCAGGCAATTCTCCTGCCTCAGCCTCCTGAGTAGCTGGGATTACAGGCTCACGCCGCCATGCCCAGCTAATTTTTTGTATTTTTAGTAGAGACGGGGTTTCACCATGTTGACCAGGATGGTCTCGATCTCTTGACCTCGTGATCCACCCGCCTCGGACTCCCAAAGTGCTGGAATTACAGGCGTGAGCCACCGCGCCCGGCCAATTTCTTTTGCTTTTGCGCCTTCGAATGAATTCCGAAAGATGCTCATTGCAGTTCGCTTTGAACAGACAAGTCTACAGACAGAAACTCTTCTGTGGTCGCTGCGGCCCGGCGGTTCTGTTCGGCGCGCTGGAGCGGTCGCGGGCGCAACTGGAGAGGCCCCTTCCCCTCCTTAGCGGCTGCGCCCCCAAGCGCACGGGGCCGCTCTTCACACCCTCATCTGGCAGCCAGACCCGGGCTCTATAGGGAACAGCATGGTGTGCTCAACACTTGGAACAGCCTGGGCCAGGAGCTGGAGCCAGGAGGGGTGGTGAATCATCACATTTTACAGCGGAGGAGAACGCAGATCAGAGGGGGAAAGAGTGTGGGCCCAGGCCTAACAGGAGTAACTGGGAAAGTAAGGTCAGGGGAATGCTGGTGTTGACCCAGAAGAATGTCGCTGTGAAACATTGGAGTTGTATTGGAATATTGTTATACACCTCATGTTGAGTTCACTGCTTCCACCTCACACCACTGTGTGTCCTTGTTCTTACCTCTGAGTGGAGGGAGGGTTGGAACCGTCCTGGTGAAGCCGGGTGTACAGGGGCCTCTGCCTCCGCCTGCTACTGTGGTTTCTGTGGGCCTCGGCTGCCCTGGCATCTTGCTTCTCTGTGAGTAGTGGATCTTTGGTCTCTGGCAGCTTTTAGGATTTTCCTTTTTTTTTTTTTTTTTTTTTTTAACTTTTACAGGAAGTTTAATCAAATATGCAAGGAACAGGAAATCCAAATATGACAAACTTTTCCAAAGAGTAGAAAATGAGTACATCTCTAAACACATTTTATGAAAACTTGTAAAACCTCTATATCAACCAGGATTTTTCTTAGCACTGGTTTGCAGTGACTTAGTTTGTTTGCCCAAGGTTGTGTTGAATTTCTTGGATTTTTGGCTTTAGACTGGTATGTTCTTTCTACTTGTAAGATTTTTTCTGTAAAGAAAGCCACAGCTGGGTTGTGTTGAAGTTCTTGGATTTGGGGTTTTAGAGTTTATGTTCTGCTTGGAGATTTTTTGGTAAAGAAAGCCACAACAGCTCATGTCTGTAATCCCAGCACTTTGGGAGGCCGAGGTGAGGGGATCGCATGAGGTCAGGAGTTCCAAACCAGCCTGAAACCCCATCTATACTGAAAATACAAAATTAGCCTGGCGTGCTGGTGGGGACCTGTAATCCCAGCTACTTGGGAGGCTGCAGCAGGAGAATCACTTGAACATAGGAGGTGGAGGTTGCAGTAAGCAGAGATGGCGCCATTGCTCTCCAGCCTGGGAGACAACAGAGAAACTGGAAAGAAGGGAAGGGAGGGGAGGGGATGAGGGGGGATGGGAGGGGGGGGAGGGGAGGGGAGGAAGGGAAGGGAGAGTAAGCAAGCCACTACAGGGTTGAGTTGAATTTCTTGGATTTTTAATTTTACACTTTATGTTCCACTTGTAAGATTTTTTCTGTAAAGAAAGCCACAAAGTTATGTTGAATTTCTTGGATTTGGGATTTTAGAGTTTATGTTCTACTTGGAAGATTTTCAGCCATTATTTCTTCAAATACTCTGTCTCTTCCTGTTTTTTCTTACATTTATGTTAGAATGTTAGCTTTTTGTATCAAAGCTAACTTAGTATCTGTTCTTTTTCTTCCCCCATCATTTTTTATGTCTCACTTTGAATAGTTCCTAGTGAGGGCTCATTGATCTGCTTCTGCAGAAGCTAACCTGCTGTTAATCTCTTCTACCATATATCAGAAACGTATTATTTAAACTTTAGAGGTTATCTTTTGGCCTTTTTAGTATCTTCCATCTATTTCCTGATCATCTTTGTGTTTTTCTTTTTTGAGACAGGGTCACATGAGGTCAGGCCTCTGTCACCCAGGCTGGAGTGCAGTGACACAGTCAGAGCTCACTGTAGCCTCAATCTCTTGGGCTCAAGTGATCCTCCCACCTTAGCCTCCCAAGTAGCTGGGATGACAGGCACTTGCCACCACAGCAGTCTAATTTTTGTATTTTTAGTAGAGACTGGGTGGGTTTCACCATGTTGCCCAGGCTGGTCTCAAACTCCCAGGCTCAGGAATCCTCCCAGCTTGTCCTCCCAAAGTGTTGGGATTACAGGCCTGAGCCACCATGCCCAACCTATGATTATGGTGTTGTTACTGTTTTGTTTTTTAATATCCTTGAGTTTATTTGTAAGCTTTAGATGACCTGTTTTAAGTTTTTTAATCTATCCATGCCATTATATCTGTTACTGCTGCCACTGTGTCTGTTGATTGCATTTTTCCCCCACCTGTAGGGACATTTTCTGTCTTTTTTCATGCATAGTTTTGTTTTGTTTTGTTTTGTTTTTTTTGGAGACTCGTTCTCTCACCCAGGCTGGAGTGCAGTGGCAGGATCCTGGCTCACTGCAACCTCCACCTCCTGGGTTCAAGTGATTCTCTGCCTCAGCCTCCCGAGGAGCTGGGATTACAGGCACCTGCTGCCACGCCCAGCTAATTTTTATATTTTTTGTAGAGACGGGGTTTCACCATCTTGGCCAGGCTGGTCTTGAACTCCTGACCTTGTGATCCACCTGCCTCAGCTTCCCAAAGTGCTGGGATTAAAGGCATGAGCCATTGCACCCAGCCCATGCATAATACTTTTTTATTGCATGACATTGTCAGTTTTGCTTTTTTGGGTACTGAACTTCATTGTGTTGTTTCCAAGTCTTTTGGATATTATTCTGGTCACAATTAGAAAACTGAGGATCAGTTTGCTCCTCCAACACTAGCTTTTAACTAGTTATAACTATATGTTGTGTGCAGTTGCCTTATTCAGGGGCTCAGTTAGTTAACTACTAAGGGTGCAGTGGTCAACTTCTGATGGTAACTAGCCAGCACCCCTGGCATGCGGTCTGTCTGTCCACTATGGGAAGGGGAACATGCAGCACTCCCAGCCCTGAGTGGGCCACAATCCTGGCCCATCCACTGTGTCTGGTGGTCTCTCCTCCCCAGGGTGGCTTCCTCTCAGGCACCCAGAGTTAGTCTCAGCAGACACTAGACGTGTCCTCTGCATGGATCCGGAGTCCTCTGGGCAGCTACTTCCCTCAGTCTCTGCTCTGCCCTTGGCCTCTGGGAGCTCCTGCCTGTGATTCTCAACAGTCTATACAGCTCTACAGGGTCCTCTGTCTCTGGTGCAGCTGGAGCCTATCCTTACGCAGTGAGCTGAGGCCACAGCTAGTCTGACTGCCTGTGCTGGGCGGGGAAGTGATTCATTCATCAGGTAGACGAGCAGCCCTTTACTCTGGGAAAGTCTGTGCATGGATGGGGGAAGGACAGATGAGCCCTGTGTGAATATTACTCCCTGGAGTCCACAGCCCGATGGAGCAGGTGACGGCAGGGAGCTAAATAACTCTCAGGAAGCATGAGGTCCAATCACTGTCACCTCTCCCACCTCCAGAGCCGCCGTGCTGGCTCCAGAGATGTCATCCCTCCACATTGGACTCTGACAGAGGAAGCCTCAGCAATCTCAAGGCTCCAGGTCATGGTATTTTGGCCAGTATAATATGGTTTGCTTAAAATCAACACTGAGGATGATGATCGTACTAATCAAAGCATGTGTTTAAAGTTCTGTGTTCTAAGCACTCTCCATACGTATTGACACTGTCAGTTCACACGACAGCTCGGGCAGGAACTGTGATTATCCAGGGCAGTCGTAAGCATGTGGGTGACCCAGAGAAGAAGGAAGAGCTTACTTGGGTTAATTTGTGACCAGAAACGTTAGCAGGCATTAGACTCAAACTTCGTAAAAGCAAACCGAGTCACAGGTGGGTGAGTCACAAGACAAGGAAACTGCCAATGACTCATTTCCGGGAGGAGGCAGTGTCTGTAGAATTCAATGGGGCAAGAACTGAAATAAGCCAAGTTCCTGGCCTCCCCATTTATTGTTTTCCTTCTCTCTCCTAACCATGCCCACACCCTCACACCCCCATGAGCCCACACCCGTGGACCCACACAGCCACACGTCTCTGGCCGCATGCCCATTCTCTTGAAATCAGAGAGGCCCACAGACTGCACAGACTTGTCCTGCACAGCAGAGAGAATGAATAGTGATGAAGGGATCTATATTATTTCAGGTCTCCTATATTTCATAATCATATTACAATATTAATTCAGCAGTACCTTTCTTGTTTTTACTCCCCTTCCTTATTACATTGGCTCCCTGTCTGTCTGGGATTCTGTCGGTGTGAACTTTTTCCTCTATGTCCACTATTGTCCCTGCCACCGATGGCATTTGTCGCCTCTCCCCAGACAGCCCCTCCAGACTCTTTGCATGTTCATGGACTTTAGGGTTCGTGATGGCAGTGCCTCAGCTCCTGTGAATGGACACTGTACTAAGGAAAGGGAGGGCTATGCCGTGTTCTTGATACTCCACGGCTCCTTGCACGTGTGGTCACCAGGCGCCTACGTGCATTCCCTGAGTGAATGAATGAGTGGTGTGGACTAGGAAGCTGCACTAACATGGATGTTGTGTCCTCAGCCTGCTCACAGAGTGTGTTAAACATGAGAGGTGGAGAATGTGGCAGGCAGGTCGAGGACAGAATAGAGGATCTGAAAAAAGGCGAAGGATCGCCCAGGCCCAGAGTTACCGGGCTTTTGTCACGTTTTCACTGGGGACATTCCCCATTAGACCCGAACTTCAAAGATCATTGTTCACCCACTAGAGAGTGGATTAGGTGGTGACCTCTGGTGTGGCCTGGGCAGCATTTGAGATGGGTTCTAGTGATTAAGGTGGGTCAGGTTGCATTATTGTGAAGGAGGCAAGTGGCAGCTGAGGCTGACCTGAGGGAAATGATGACGATAACGCAGCCCAGTGATGCAGTGGGTTTGGTAAGAAGAGGAAAGAGTTTACTGGTGGATTCTAGTGTTCCTAATCTGAGACTTGGCTGAGGTCCTTACCAAATACGATGGAGTAAATGGGCATAAATGGCTTTAAGAATTAGAAACCTGAGGCTGGGCACGGTAGTTCATGCCTGTAATCCCAGCACTTTGGGAGGCCGAGGTGGGTGGATCACCTGAGATTAGGAGTTTTAAGACCAGCCTGGCCAAAATAGTAAAACCCCCATCTCTACTAAAAATACAAAAAATTAGCAGGGCATTGTGGCTTACGTCTGTAATCTCAGCTACTTGGGATACTGAGGCAAGAGAATTGCTTGAACCTGGGAGGTGGAGGTCACAGTGAGCTGAGATCGTTCCACTGCATTCTAGCCCAGGTGACATGGTGAGACTCTGTCTCAAAAAAAAAAAAAAAAAAAAAAAAAAAGATTAGGAACCTGAATGTGCTGTTGGAGACAGTATGGATATATCATTGGTTACAGACCTGCAGTACACAAAATGCTAAAAGATTTCAATCTGAGTAGAGATGAGATGAAATGGAAGCATGGGGTTTGTTTGTTTGTTTGTTTGTTTGTTTTTGAGACAGAGTTTTGCTCTTGTCACCCAGGCTGGAGTGCAATGGTGCAATCTTGGCTCACTGCAACCTCTGCCTTCTAGCTGGGATTACAGGCACCCGCCACCATGCCCAGCTAATTTTTGTATTTTTAGTAGAGACGGAGTTTTCACCGTGTTGGCTAGGCTGGTCTCGAACTCCTGACCTCAGGTGATCCACCCGCCTTGGCCTCCCAAAGTGCTGGGATTACAGGCGTGAGCCACCTCACCTGGTCAGAAAAATGGATCTTAAGGAAAGAAGGAAGATCATCAGGAATAAAAACATGAATGTACATATTAAGAATGATCACTTCCTCTTAATTTCTGACAAATATTTACTATCAAGTAATATAACACTATAACACTTTGTGGGGTTTGTAACATATGTACATACATGAGACAACTACAGCAGAAAGAACGAGTAGTGGAGATGAATGAATCTATATTATTTCAAGTCTCCTACATTTTATAATAATATTACCATATTAATTCTGCCAAACAACTCGGTAATAAAAAGAAATGGAATATTGACACACGTGATAATATGACCGAACTTCAAATACTTACGCTGAGTGAAAGAAACCAGACAGAAAAGCATATATACCATTTGATTCCACCTATGATAGTTATAGCCAGAAATGGTTTAATTCAAAAAGAAAGATCTTAAATCAACAAGCTAAGTTTACAAATTTAGAAATTAGAAAAAGAATGAACCAAACCCAGAGTTAGCATTATAAAGGAAATAATAATTATTAGAAGAGCAATAAAATAGAGAATAGAAAAACAGTAGAGGCTGGACATGGTGGCTCATGCCTATAATCCCAGCACTTTGCGGGTCCAAGACAGGAGGATCACTTGAGGCCAGCAGTTTGAGACCAGCCTGAATACAGCAAAACCCTGTCTCTACAAAAAGTAAAAAAACTAGCCTGGTGTCAGGGTGCACTCCTGTGATCCCGGTTATTTGGGAGGCTGATTTGGGAGGATCACTTCAGCCCCAGGGATGGAGGTTGCAGTGAGTCAATATCACGCCACTGCACTCCGGCCTGGGCAACAGAGTGGGACTCTGTCTCAAAGAAGGAAAGAAAAACCGTAGAGAAAATCAGCAAAACCAACATTGATTCTTCAAAACTATTAAACTGACAGACTTCACTAGTGAATTCTAATAAGCTTTTAATGAAGAGCTAGTACCACTACTTCTCAAACTCTTTGAAAAACTTGAAGAGAAGGGAACCTTTCTTGACTCTTTTTGTGAGGCCAGCATTGCTCTGATATCCAAGTAGAGAATGATACTACAAGAAAATAAAGCTACATACCAATATCCCTAATTGATGCAAAAATCTTTAACAAAATACTAACAGAGAGAATTCAACAGTACCTTAAATGGATTACACACCATGACCAAGTTGGATTTATGTCTGGAATGCAGGAATGTTTCAACAAATGAAAACTGAACAGTGTAATACATTGCATTAATACAATGAAGGGGAAAAAGACACATGATCATTTCAACTGATACAGAAAAAGCCTTTGACAAAATTCAAAGCCCTTTCATGATGAAAACACTCAGCAAACTAAGAATAAAAGGAAACTTCCACAATGTCATAAAAGCCATGTAAGAAAACCCCGTAGCTTGGAAGTTCTAGCCAAAGCAATTAGGCAAGAAAAAGAAGTAAAAGCATCTGAACTGTAAAGGAAAAAGTAAAACAATCTGTGTTTCCAGGTGATATGATCTCACTGGTAGAAAATCCGAAAGATTGCACAAAAAATTAAACTGCCAAAAATAAAATCATACCAGATTTTAAAATTTTTGAAATTTACTGTTGTACAGTAAGAGACAGTATAGATTACAATCTGGGAGGTTTCAAATCAAGTTGTAAGAGACTTGCCTTACAGCAGGTATAGGACAGTTTATAAAGGATGATGTATTTTGACAATTTCATGATTGACTGTTAAAAATTTACATTCTTTTTAGAGGCAATCAGAGCTGTTTAAGATGATTTTTCTATAGCTGCTTGTTTTAATTTCACTGAAACTCATGACAAAGATATAAAGCTTACATTTTGTGGGGCTTTTTTATGATTACAGCTGGTGTTTCATGGATATCAGGTTGTCTTAAAGTTTTGGCTACATGGTTGTATAAGATTGGCCTTAGGGTTACACAAGGTTGTACAAGATTGGCCTTGGGGTATATCTAAACTGTGTTTTTAAGTTTTTCTTTAACAGTACTAAAAATGAATTCATCAAAGAAGCAGAATACAAAATCAACAGGAAAAATCAGTTGCATTTCTATATGCTACCAATGAATGATTGAAATCCAAGGTCATGAAGAATTATTCCTGTATTTTCTTTGAAGTTTTAGGGTTTTCACTTTTGTTAGATTTTTTATTCATTTTGAGTTAATTTTTTGTATTTATGTAAGTTAAGGGTCCAGGTTCATTATTTCATGATGAGTTAATATCTAGATTTCCCAAGACCACTTTTAAAAAAGATTGTCCTCACCTCATTCAATGGTCTTGGTACCTTTATCAAAAATCACTTGGTCAGGTACAGTCATGCACCGCATAACAACATTTCTGTCAACAGTGGACTACATAAATGGTGGTGGCTCCGTACAGTTGTGTAACACACTGCACAGGTTTGTAGCCTAGGAGCAAGAGGCTCTATAGGCCAGTTGTGTCACAGGCTACAGCATCTAGGTTTGTGTAAGCACACTCTCTGATGTTCACACAACATAATCACCTAACGACCCTTTTCTCAGAACAATATTGAGCAATGCATGGCTGTATGTGCAAGTTCATTTCTGGGCTCTCTGATCTAACCATGGGTCTGTATGTCAGGCACCTTTTAAAATCAGAAGTTCCTTATTTAATGTTTGCTTTTATATCCCAATTTTAAAAAAGTTTTCTATATTATAACCCCCATTTGTAAAAACATGTGTGTGCGCCTGTGTCTGTGTGTCTATGTGAGAGAGAGAAAGAGAGAGAGAGAGAGAGAGAGAGAGAGAGAGAGAGAGAATATGTATACCTATGGAAAAATAGTGGAACTAAATGAGATAAAATATTAATGGATGCTATTTTTAGTTGAGAATATCATGTGTGGCTTGTGTATTCTTCTAAAAACCTTCCTTCCCCACATTTTCTGGAATAAACATGTTTAGAAGAGTTTTTCAAGTGTATGTTACTTGGCCTTCCCTGAAATATGAAGGGACAAACAAACACAAAAGAATGTTTGAGAGCTGAGAGCTGCAAGAAAGATGAGGGTTCTGTTTGGTTTGATTGCCTGGGATGACGGGAATATGAGACGGATCCTGGGAGTCATGAGGTCTGGAAGCCACTCACACCCATCCCTGCTTTGTCCCCACAGATCTCAGCTGACTCTGTTCCAGTCACCCAACAAAACCTAGTTCCCCGGCAGAGAGCGGCCCCACAACAGAGGTTCAGCGCCACGTATGGATTGTGTCCGCCTGGTATGTTCAAGATGGGTCTCTGATCCTTGCCGCTCCTCCCCTTGTCTCCATGAGCTTCCAGGCTGTTTCCTTTGCACTTCCTGGTTCTTCACTCCTCAGAGAAGCATTGGGTGCCTCCAGCATGAGGCCCTGTCCTCCTGGAGCCTTCCTGCTGGGCTGGTGTCAAAACACATGAATGAATGAGACAGCCAAAGAGACTGATAGGAACCTTGTGGGAGACTTGAGTGGGACAGAGATGGGGCTGGTGAGGCCTCCCAAGCAGTGGTGACTTTGGGCTGACATCTGGAGGTGGGCAGGGCCAGAGGTGCAGAGAGCCAGAAAGAGTGCTCCTAGGAGGCTTCGAAAGAAACAGTTGCTGGGGGCGGGGGTTGGGGAAGATGGAGCAACGGCAGGGGGCTGCTATGGGAAGAGGTAGGCGAGGGCAGATCCCACACAGAGGAAGTTGGATTTTATTTCGTGAGTGATGGATGTCCCCGAGACGTTTTCAGCAGAGGGCCACCAACATTGGATGTGCATCTTTAGTGCTCACTCTGAGATTGAATCGGAGCAAGACAGGAAGCAGGTGGAGGGCCTTGAGTATGAAGAGCTCCTCTGGGATGGTCTGTGGTGCCCCGCAATGTCATCTGAGCCCCCAGAGAGGCAGCAGGAACCTCGCCTGAGGTGTGCTTGACTGTAGTGTTCGCCTCTCACTTCTTTCCCTCTTCCCCTCACCGCGTGTGTGAGTTAGGAATTGATTGCTGCATGCGGGCTTCCAGAGCTGGCAGGTGTAGCAAGCAGTGGTTTTTAAAATCTGTTTACAAATTTGCATTTCTTTTTCATGACTAAGGGCCACAGGAAAGGCTTGCCTGAAGGCACACCCTCATTGCACGCTTGGGCTTGTCAGGAGCAGAGCGTGGAGGAGGAAGAACCTAGCCTGAAACTCATCTGTAAATGCACCTACTGCTGCAGTTGGGGGTCAAGACCAGGGAGCTGGAGGGGAATAGGAAGGACTCCAGATGTATTTGGAGTGTGGATGGATGACGTGTGGGGAATGAGGACGATGAGGCACCAAATTCAGCTGCTCAGGGTAACTTGAGCCTCTGCAGGGACAGTGTGTGGCAGGGCAAGCAGTGCACATTTGGGGACTCTAGCACATAGGTGACACTTAAAGCCTCTGTCTTGGGGTGTCCACCAGGAAGAAGATGTAAATACTAAGAAGGAGGGGCACAACTGAGCCCATTAGGATTCGCTCTCAGAGATGATAGGCCAGGGAGACAGGACTGCAAAGGGCTGAGCAGGAGCAGTCCACAGAACTTCCATCCTAGAAGGGAGATGCCCTTCCAGCCACAGGGAGCAGCCCACAGCAAGTGTCAAGGACTGAGACGTGGAAACTCCTCAAAATGTGCATTTCTCTTCTTGTGAATGAGGTCAGAAATCTGTTAATGACACAGATACCATGTGTACACTGGTTCTGCTAGGTTTTCTTCACTCCTAGTAAGAGGTTCGCTTTCTTTTAGTCACATGAATTCTTACAGGTTACAGGATTTCATTCTGTTGCCCGGGCTGGAGTGCGGCATCAGGATCATAGCTCACTGTAGCCTCAACCACTTGTGCTCAAGAGATCCTCTCACCTTGGCCTTCCAAAGTGTTGGGTACAGGTGTGAGCCACTGTGCCACATCCAAACGTCTAATAAAAATTCCCATATAAGGCCAGGCATGGTGATGCACACCTATAATCCCAACACTTTGGGAGGCCAAGAGGGGTAAATCACTTGAGGCCAGGAGTTCAAGACCAGGCTGACCAATATGGTGAAACCCCGTCTCTACTAAAAATACAGACATTAGCTGGGTGTAGCAACATGTGCCTGTAATCCCAGCTACTTGGGAGGCTGAGGCAGGAGAATCACTTGAACCCAGGAGGTAGAGGTTGCAGTGAGCTGAGATCATGCCATTGCACTTCAACCTGGGTGACAGTGAGACTACGTCTCAATAAAAAAAATTTTCATCTATATTTCCAGTCATTTTGTGGTCTCCTATGTTATAATTAAGTCATTGAGCCATCTGGACTTTATTTTCTTATAAGAAGAGAGTAAGGAAGACACTTACTTCATTATTTTCCAGCCACCTTTTAGTTGCCCCAACACTATTATTAAATAATCACATTTTTATCAGCGACATGAATCACTATCATCATGATACATTATTAAGTAAGCTTTGTGTAAGTTGGGTGTTTTAGAGTATCTTTCAATATTAATAAAGATAATTCAGAAATGTTGTGGGTAGCATATAGATTGGTTATGGTGTATTTTTTCCTTTTGTTTTTACTCATTCTGCCAAGCTCTGCCTTTTAATTGCAGAGTTTAAACTATTTTCAGTTAACATAGTCACTGAAAGGATTTTATTCTGCTCTTCAGCTATCTGCTTTCTTTATGTCTTACATATATTTTGTTCCTCCCTTACCACTTTTTAAAAAAACTTTATTTCTTGGCATGCACCATTTTGACTCACTTCTTTTCTTTTCTGCATATTTTTAAATGCATTTTCATTTTTTCTGAAATATATTGTTGTATAAGTATATATTTAATAAATCTATATTTAAATATATACTTATTTTAATATATCTTAAAGATATACATGCATATCTTTATCATAAAGATATATATTTAAAAAATATATGTGTATATATATATTTTTGAGACAGAATCTGCTCTGTCACCCAGGCTGGAGTGCGATGGCACGATCTCAGCTCGCTGCAGCCTGTGGCTCCCAGATTCAAGTGATTTTTCTGCCTCAGCCTCCTGAGTTCAGGGAGTAGCCACCACGCCTGGATAATTTTTATATTTTTTTATAGGGACAGGGTTTTACCATGTTGGTCAGGCTGTCTCAAACTCCTGACCTCAAGTCATCCACCTGCCTCGGCCTCCCAAAGTGTTGGGATTACAGGCATGAGCCATGCACCCAGCCTAAAATTTATTTTCTTACTGATTTCCTTGAAGATTACAATTACCTTCTTCAGTGTCTAAAAAGGTAGTTTTATAATACTGACATAATTTCATTGCAGTCCAAATATTGTGCTCCTGGACAGCTGCATCTCTCCAGCTTTCCATTGTTGCTGCCATAGATCACATCTTGGCACGTTGCGTGACCACTAACGTAGATCTTCAGGTCGTGCATATGTGTGCTGCAAGGTTGACTTGTGATGGTTGATTTTGTGTATCAACTTGGTTACCCAGATTCTTGGCCAAGTATTATCCTAGATGTTTCTGTGAAGATTATTTATTTATTTATTTATTTATTTAGATGAGATTAACATTTAAATCAGTGGACTTTGAGTCAAGCAGATTACCCCCATAATGTTGTTAGGTCCCATCCAATCAGTTGAAAGCCTCAATAGAAAAAAGACTGACCTCCACCAAGACAGAGGGCATTCTGCCAGCAGGCGGTCTTCGGACCTGAGCTGTGACTCTTCTCTGTTGGCCTATCCTACACCTTTTGAATTTGCCAGCCTCCACAGTTATGTGAAGCAGTTCCTCAGGATAAATCTGTGTCACTCTAGAGCAGGGGCCCGTAACCCCCAAGCCATGGACCAGTACTGGCTGTGGCCTGTTAAGAACCAGACTGTACAGCAGGAGGTGAGCTGCAGGAGAGTGAGCATTACCGCCTGAGCCGCGCATGCTGTCAGATCAGCGGCAGCGTTAGACTCTCGTAGGAGCGCAAACCCTACTGTGAAATGCACATGCAAAGGATCTCGGTTGAGTGCTCCTTATGAGAATCTAATGCCTGATGATCTGGCACTGTCTTCCATCACCCCCAGATGGGACCGTCTATTTGCAGGAAAACAAGCTCAGGGTTCCCACTGATTCTACAGTATGGTGAGTTGTATAATTATTTCATTATATATTATAATGCAGTAATAATAGAAATACAGTGACAATAAACGTAATGTGCCTGAATCATCCTGAAACCACCCCCATGCCCCCAACTCCAGTCGGTGGAAAAATTGTCTTTCAGGAAACCAGTCCCTGGTGTCAAAAACGTTGGAGACCTTTGCTCTAGAGAGCCCTGAGTAATACAGAATTTTTAAAGATTTGAAGTTATTTTAAACCAAACTTAATCTCCAAGTAACAGCAATAACAAGATTATATTTTCACCTAACATAAAACAGCTATCCTGTATAGAACTGAAAACGCACTAACCCTTTCTCCAGAAGAGGATGCAAAGTCCTTGAGTGGCAGTTACCCCTCTCCTTGATACCCTTGGAACATAAATACTATAAAGTGAACAGTACTTAAATACTATGTTATACATCGAATATCTTATGTCACATAGCAAGGGGATAAGAGAAGGAAGAAAAGACAGATATTTGCTGAACATATATTTACACATAAACACACACACATAACACAATAAGGAAGAAATACTTACAAGTATTACAATCCTTGTTTCCTTGGCTGGTCATGTTGTAGCTGGTATTTATAACAAGCTTCTTTCACTCTGCATTCTGTATTCCCTGTGCTCTCGCTAAGCACCTCAGTGGTCATGGCTCTATGCCTGGTACAGTGAACCAACCATTCCTGAAGGGTCTGAGCTATTAGTGGTCTTGCCTTAATTGGGCTGTCGTGGTTTTCTATTGACTTTAATCAGTGGGCATGGTAACACTAAGAGATGCCCTAAGGAATCTCCTGATTCTAGACATCCTCTTCCTTATATCCACTGTGGAATAACAGTCCAGTTTCCCCTTGGTGGTCAGAATCAATCAATGCAGCCCGCAGGGTTTGTGTAACTGGTTTTTGCCTGTTAATTCAGAGGCATGAGGAACCCAAAGTGGCAAGTCGTAGTCTTAATTTCAAGTTAAATGGAATCACTGTTGTGTCTCCTCATGGAATCATTCCTCCCTCTGAAACTCAGAGCTCTAGCAAAGCGTAAAGTTGAGGAACCAGGCAGCAAAAATTTTGCTAACGAGTCACTAAGAGTAATGTGGAGTGGGGCCATTCCCACTTCCACCCCTAGATTCCTGGACA